AGACTGAGGGAGGGAGGGAGGGAGGGAGGGAGGGAAGAGTAGGAGGATAAAAGGGAGGAAGATTAGGCTTGGTGTTGAGGGGAGCAAGATAGTCACCCTTTCAACTCTTAAGCCAGCTCCTGATCTAGGGTCCAAGTGGCTGCCTTCAGGATGGAGCCAGCTTTAGGATGTCTTAGACCTAGCCTGCATGGCTGGATATGTTCCAGTCAGCTGGACTTTACAAGGATGTGGAACCTCTTCAGACCCCCAAATCTGACCCTTACATCCTCACCAGTGTCCTGTCCTCAACCCCTCAGACTCTATTTTGCTACAATGTGCTTCCCTGACCACCAGAATTCTATCTTACCACTACCACAGGCTGCCAAGTAAGTTTTGGGAAGCTCATCAACAGAGTCCCTTAGGACGTGGGTGCAAGATTGTGTAGCAAGGTAACTTTTGTCACTTTGGCCTCCATGTCTGGAAGGGCTGTAGAGAGCTAGGGTTGCTAGTAGTCATAGATGGAGTCTCAGAAATACCAGGTGCAAGCTAGGCCTGGTAGCAACATGCCTGTAATCCCAGGATTACAGAAGCTGAGGTGGGAGGATTGCATTGAGTTTGGGGTCAACTGGGGCTGCCCAGTGAGACCACACCTTAATGCTCCTAGAAGATGAACTCAGCCCTCCCAGACATGCCCAGTCCCAGCAATTGACCCCAGTTTCATTGCACTTTTATGCCAGAGGTGTTGTGTAGCTTTGAGATAATCTCCTTCCCAAAGGTTAAGGGGCTAGACTGTGGGCAGTAGAAGAACAGTTAGTTACCAAGTAGTGGAGCCATCAGCTAGCCAGGTCTGCCTGGTCCTTTCCTCATAAATATCCACTGCAAGCATCCACAGCGACCTCTGCTGGGAGGAAGTCAAACCAAGGCACAATTTGACAACCAGCTCTCCCTCTCAGTGTCAATGTAGGTGCAGAATAGATGTAGGCACTGTTCAGTAAAACCCATAGACCTCTCTTTTTGGCTAATTTCCTGTCTATCTGTAGGGTAGACGGTCTTGTTTTGGTTTGGTTTGGCTGGTTGGTTTGTAGTGTTGGGGATCTAAGCCAGAGCCTGGTACCTGTTAAACAAGCACTCTCCCACTGAAGTACACTCCTGCTGAGCTGATTGATGTTCCTGTCAGTGGTTCCTTCAAATGAGATCAAGCAGTTAAAACTGTCCTCAGCCACATGGAAATATTTATAGAGGGTTTGAAGGCCTTTATGTTTTCATACAGTTGAGAGATGGCGTCGAATCCATTTATTAGGACAATACATGAAAGCAATGATCAAGTTCAGAGAAGTTTAGACACCTTTCTGGTCTCTCCCCACTTTGACTCCTCCCTTTCTCTCATAGTCCACTTTTTATTTCTCTTTCTCATTAAAGTAGACAATAGTGTGTTTTCAAAACCAAGTTTTATTCTCTTCAATAACAATGTGATGTGGCTTAGAAAATTCAGACATCTGGAGGCTACTACTAAATACAAAAGACCTGTGAGTACTGCTTCTTTCTAATGATGGAAGTGGGGGAGATGGATGAGACATACCCAGTCCTAAATGCCCACTTGGTGACATGTGTCTTTTCTCCTGGAGTTACTCTGAAAGGATTTCACACTGTCACAAAATTATTAGAGCTCCTCAAAGGAAAGGAGGTATTTAAATACCTGGTATTGTTCTTACTTTGGCATCCATGTGATTTGCATTGAACTACGTGACTCAGTATCATAAAGTAAAAATAGGACTTAATTTCTTTGTCGCCTGTTCAGAGGGTGACTGCATATAGTGTGTTGTGTTCTGCATTGGAGAATGCAAAGCTAAATTGCCTCATAAATTGAACCACCTGCTTATCCTGATTAGAGAATGGTACTTAGCATCACCTACAGGCAATCACATTATATGTTTCTTTTAATTTGTACCTGATTCTTTGTCTTGTAAAATGTGTCCTCCTATTCATACATTGTTGCTTTCACTTGAGGTTAATCAAGACTATTTATTCTTCATACTAATGCCCAAAAATTAAATGCCACCAGATACAGGAAGATGTTGGTAATGTTTTTATTGGGGGGTGGGCCTTAAAAATTCGTGAAGTTCATAGCAAAGAAGAAAAGGACTCTAAGTTTCAATAAGTCTTATGGCTGGAGTTATGGCTTTCTGAGAAGCGGTTCCAAGGAGACACTCAGGAGAGCAGGCCTGGCCATGATGAAGAATCTGCGCATGCATGGCAGCGTGCATGAGGCAGCATTCAGACTGGGAGCAAGACTGCAGCCCCAAGCATGCCCAAATCTCTGCTCTGATGCAGGCTTTCTGGACAAATTTCCCAGGTTGCTCTTGCTTCCTCTCCGACCAGCAGCCAGTGGCTAAGGAGTGGAACTATCCAAGGTTCTGGAATCCTGATCTCAGCCTGCAAAGGGTAGGGAACAGAAGAGAACTGAGGGCCACAGCCTCTGAGGGGGTTTCCCTAAAGCTGATCACAGAACAGAATAGGAAGAAGCAATGCTGTCAGGGTTTGCACCGCATCATTCTGAATGAGCCCATTGCCCATCAGCAATCCCTATGTAAAGAATTACAAGCTAATAATAAAAGGAAACATTTTTCTGAGTCAGGCTGCTTGCATGCAAGAATGTATTTAATCCTGACAGTCGTATGTGGTGGGTGGTGGCATTATTCCCACTTTCTAGATGAACAAGCAAATCTTTGAGAGGAAAAGGGCTTGTCCAAGGTCACACAGATGATGCAGAGTTTAGGTTTCACCTGGAGCCATTAAACTCCAGAACTCCATCCTTGTCACTTGTCACTTTTTCTACTGCAAAGAAGCACTGCTTATATTGCTCTGTGTAAGGTTCTAGATAAATCTTAGAGGAATGAGGTTAGAGAAAAGCTAGGATTCAGACACAAATCACAGAGCCCTTTCAAATTCAGCAAGGATACTGTCTTTTGGGGGTGCTCTTATTCTGGTAAAAGGCTTGTTATCTGAACATGGTTACCAAAGAAGATGGCATAATGACCCAGGGTTTTCTTTCTAGAGTGGAAAATTTTTACAGGAATATAGCCTGGATAGCAACACAGTGGATTTTTAGAAGAACAAAAGTAGGAAAAAAACTGGAGTCTATTTTTTTTAATAACGAATATATACAGAGCCAACAAAATAGGATATTGTTAGGAGACTCCTGTCATCTAGTCCCATGCTCACATTTTCACAGCAAAGTGAAATAAAACTAAA